TAGATCTGCCTGTAATACAGGTGTGATGTTACCTCCAAAATAGTATAATACACAATAGCATGAAGTGATCTCATTGAATGTGTAGCTGCTTGAGAACTACTGCTTAAAAGACATAACCAAACCAAGTACTTGAAATGGGCATCAGGCTTCAACCAGTGGTATGTGCAGAAATGGGATGAGAATGCTCCTTACAGATAAATCCGAATTAGAAATGTAAACTGTAATTCTAAATATTATGCAAACAGTATTAATATTGTCCATGCAGACTGTTGGCAAACTAACGTGCTTTCTGACTGTCATGCTAGTTAACTTATTTCAGAAACCTAGCTAGATCTATACACACATGTATGTTCTAAGTAATTCCAGCCCATCACTGGTTTAACCAACTTTCTTGGACCTGGCTATAAAACAATAAATAATGACGTATTTACCTAAATGGAAAATCATACTTGTGTACTTCTGCCCAAGATGCACACAAAAGTTGCTGGTGGCCTTCATTGGACTGCAGACTTGAAGGAAACATTATGGCAAAATCAGGATATGTTTTAATTGTTGATGCCAGTTCTTTGGAGGAGATTTGACCCCAACACATGTGGAAAATGGTCCAGGTTCATGCTCCACGTGTTCACTGCTTTTAGGTTTAAACATTTTCATAGAACAATAACCATCAATTCAAGCATTCACGTGTTGCTAGGTCACAATGCATTCTGTGTGCGCCTGGAACAAGTATGCTTTAGTACGAATTCATTGTCTACATTTTAGTTTGTATGATTGAAACATTCAACTAAAAAAAAAAAAATCGTACAGAATTGTGCCTTTTCGATAGTGATCTACAAAATTTGATTGCAAGTTTGCTTAAATGGCAAATTTAGAGCTTGTCTCAAAATTTTGGGATAATTTAAGTGTCTTTTTGCCTAAATGGAATGTATGCTCCTGTGTACTAATGATAAATTGACCATTTAGTTTTAAATACTCATTGTTTGTGACTTGTGTGTGTATCACTTGTGTATTTCCATATTTATTTCCAATACTGTAAATAAACATTTTGGTCTTAAGTCTAAAACAAATGTATATTATAGGTAAATATGAAATCTTTGGCAACTTCGTAATATGTTTTTCTCTACACTTTGCTTGAAGTCGAAACAATGACAGCCTAGGTGGAGGGTTTCACGAACGTTCGGGTAGTGGACCTAATACGCCCATTTCCAGCCCTGAAACCCCACCGCTGATGCAACGTGTTACGTACGAGTCAGATACCTCGAGCTTAAACAGCTTGGAATTAGAACGCAACACGACAGCTTCAGAAGACTTTGGTAAATGTGGTAACAGTGGAAGTCTAAACAACATCCAGTCATCTTCTTTATGCACAGAGAGCTATAGGTTACAGAGGCCCGATTGTGATGGTACGTAGATATACATTTCTAGAGCTTCTAACTACAAAAATACACTTTTCAAGATATTTATTAATCTTTCGCTGTAGATTATACATTGTTGGAAATAAACTTTTTCCTCTTCATTTGCAGCAAATGCAGATGAAACTACAAGTTGGTCTATAGCATCAGTGTATACAGACTGAAAATAGGGGTTAGTAAAAATTATAATAAATACCTAGTTCTTTGGATGAAATGTATGGAAACTCTAAGGATTTCAGTCGACGTAGCCAGGTTTAAAAAGACAAGTGTGGTTTAATGATATCTTTTATTATTAACTATTCACCCTAAACTTATTAATACCAAGACCATTTAATTGTTATCAAATCAACAAAAATTAGAAACTGGAATAATTTAGTTTTTTTGGTCGGATTAGAATATAACAATACATCTTATTTTCTAAATTCTTGTTTAATTTGAAGTTTTATAATTGGATATCGAAGTAAACGTTTTGCGGAAGTTGGTGTTAAAAAAAAGGTATCAGAATACTTGAGAAGAGGAGAGAATTCAGTGTTTTTATAATCATGTATATGTTGAAACTGAACACTATTGTACCTTTAGTTGTCAGGTGTATTGTCTTTCTTACAAATATAATACTTCAAAGTACATTAGTTTGAAAACGTTCTGATGCATTTCAGCAGAGAATTATTATTCTTGTAAGAATCGTCCAAAGTAGTATAAGCTTATAATTTTATTTCAGCTTCTTTTTCACTAGTATTATAGCAGTAAATAGGTAATATCTGGTATTAGGTTTTGTGTTTCCTGTGCATGTATATGTATCAACAGACAGTACCTGGTCCATTTCATGATCTATAGTGATGCTGAATGCATTATTCTGATTTTGTTTACTCATTTAACACCCAGTCTTTGAGTCAATGAGACCAAATTCTGGGGACTGGGTGGGTTACAAAGGGGGTATCCAGTATTCAATTTAGAACCAGAAAGAAATGTATTTCAATAAAGTGCTTGATATGTTAACCTAAAAAAAACACACAAAACTATACTGCTAAAGGAACTCGCCTCTCAATAATGTTTAACCACAGAGGTGGAGAGTTGAGCGAGTTGGTTGGTCTGTGTCCCACTTGTACAAAATATTAAAAGTGTTCATGTTAGCATATCATGATTGGTCAACTAAAAGGTGCTCTTAGGAATGTTTAGATCCTTATTGGTCTAAAACAAAGATAAAAACCATCGAATGAATAAATACTCCTTCAAGTGCCATTCTGATTATGTTTCCCTGGTGCTACTGCTGTCTCGTTCGTTACACACCAGACTAGTTCCTGCAAACAACTTGGTGACTTTTTGGTGTACGATTCTGAGCAGAAACCGTCACGACAAAGACAGTGATGACTAGATGTGCCACAGTATTGCTTTTGCACACACTGGTGTCACATGTCTTCCTCAGCCAGCTCTATCGACAAAACAACTTTATAGAGCCGAGGAACCATGTCTTGTAATGCACAACATGTGCAGATGCTACCACGTTTTGTGTGTGATTTTGGATTGGGGTATGGGTTTTACTCCTTCATAGCCTGGAAACTAGTGCGAGTTCAGCCACACTGGTTGGGCAGTTCAGATTCCACATGTTGTAAAAGTTCAAATCTCTTATTAAGAAATAAAGAAAAAAGTAACAAAAATCTTTATTTAGGAAAGAACCCACCAAAAATGCTTCCCTTACTCACAGGCAAGGTGTTAAAAGCATGGAGAATTTAACTCATGAAATAATGTGGGTAGTGGAATGTCTACAGAAGAACTAGTACTTTTATTTTATTTCAAATTTTCAACTTTTTGATTAAATTAAATTTATTTTAGAAACATTTCATGAATGAGTTTGAAAGCTTGCAAGAATAAATTTTCAATATCGATTTGGCCAGCTATATACCTTATGAATGTGACTGAAATCTTCTGTAATAAATACTAAATGTGGAATTAGCATGTTGTTATAATTTTACCAAAATTTACCCACATTCAAAATCCTTATTCAGTTTCTTTTACTTGTAGACTTTGCAATACTTAACTTTTTTTGTACATAAAAGTGGAAATTTGTTTTCTAGTTATTATATAACTAAAAACATTTTTACACAGTCAAATAAAATAAAGTTTTCATTCCAGCTGTTCAAAGGCAGATTGAAAACCTAAAACTGGAAGTTGTAAAACTTAAAACAGAAAAGCTAGAACTTTTGAAGCAAAAAATGGTAAGTGTTATAAGTTTTTGTAGCTCCATCTATGTAAAGAAAAACATATGGCTTATTTTTTCTTACAACTTATGTTTTATTGAAAACTTTTTTTAAGTTTCAAAACCTAAACCTATTATCTAACTACAGTAACTCATTTATATCTCAACTCCTAATTGTATTGTGCATTGTCATAAATTTTATACCAGCAATTTGCCCCTACCTTTGAGCCAAGTTTACCCTTTTTTAATGGTGTATTAAAAAACATGCTCTCAGTTATTAAGAATGCATAAAATTCTAAAACATTATGAGGTTTTATGTAACTATTTGAATGTGCAGATTTACATCTCCAACCTTATTATGGTTGTGAGATGTTTCTACTGCTTCAGTTCACACCTGCTGTTTGCTTAATAACAACATATTCTGTTTTAGAAACATGCAGGGTGACTAAGAAAAGCCTGTTATAACGTCTATTTAATTTCGTATATATGTACACAGAGAAATCATCTTTTTATCTAGTAAAACATCTTTTCAAAAGTTTAGGAGTCAGTGTAAATATATTTAAAAGAAGTAACTTTTAAGGGTAAATTTTTTTTTAATATATTGATTAGTTTTTGTTGTAACCTATTGATTACCATGTCATGGTGTTACAGTGTCGCAATAAGCCAACAGGCCAATAATTGAAAACTATTTGTAGTTGCAACAACTGTCTCTATATAGTTTTAAACTTTAAAGAATTTTGATGCTAGTCATGATAGTTTTGTTTCATGCAAATAAATATAAAGTTACTTGTATTGTTTGTAGTCCAGTCAACGAGATATGAAAAAGGTGAAAGAGTCGGAGGTACGACTGACTACAGAACTTTCAATGATCAGAAAAGAAATTCTCAGATTACGGGCATTAGACACTGAAGCATTAGCTAGTACGTAGTTTTTTGCCATCGTTGGTAGTGTTACATAAAGGTGAAGCAAACCTGTAGCATGAATGTCAGGTCCATGTCCATAATGGTCGGCACGACACTCACTACATTAGTCAGAATAGTGATCAATGTGGCAATAGAATGTAAATATCTATAGTTAAAAAGTGCATTTATACAACAGTCAGTGTGGCTATAGTAGTAAAGTGTTTTGTCTTTTAGAATTACATAAATTATGCAGTTCTACAAGAGCAAAATGTATACATTTACGTTAAAATACACAGTTTGGACATGCTACTGGTCAAGTGATAGACTGGATTGTTGCAATTGTCTGGTTGTGACAAAGAAAACCAAACCTCTTAACTGTGTATAAGAGTGAAAAAAAAAACAATGAGGTGTTACTGCATTCCATAGTGACTTCAGTTATTAACCAGTCATCTTGCACTGTTTTTGTATTCAGCGTAATTTTGTTACTTCAGATGAGTAGGTATTAAACCTTTCTATAAGAAGTACTACAAATAGGTAGTTTGATTTCCTCATTATCAGCAGTAGAACTGGGTGATTAACTCAATTACGTATGATCAAATTATATCACAAAAATAATCAGTCATCGAAATTATTGTTTCTGATTAATGTCATGCCTCAGCCATTATTAATTTTGATTAACGTCATGCCTCATGAGAATAATCAAGTAATCCAAATTAGTATTTTCACTTATTATTGTTTTCAAGTATTCCAATTTTCCAACACTAATGTGTGAATAATCAATTAGTTGAATGTTATCAGATTTCGCTAATCATCCAGCTTTAACCAGCAAGAGATATTGTAAAAATTTACTTTTCCGTTTTCTAATGAAGATTCTTCTCATACCCAAGTATTTATTAGCCAGTTTGCAAGTATTATTATGTTTTATTTGGAGGCTTTTGAATACAGTTTTCAGACTGATTCACCCTTGTTCTTATTTCTCAGTATCATGTTTATTAAGTGCTTGAAAAACATTAACGTTTTCAGACTTTGTTATCTCACTGCACTTGAAAATTAGTAGCTCAGAATTAACTCAAAAAATTGTGCTAGTCTAGAGACATTTAATGTAACATTATTAAATATTTTTAAGCAGAGGAAACCACCTTTATTAATACTAAGCCACCTCGGATATAGCTTACGTTTGAAAATTGATAAATATGGAAGTTGGGAAATGATAATAAAAGGGAAGATTTCAAAAAAACAACCTTTCTGTCATCTTAACCTCTAGCACAATTGTAAGAGTTTAAAGCAGAGATTCATTTTGTCAGAAAAAAAAATCTATCTCTGCTTTAAACTCTTACTAGAAATAAGAATAACGACTGTTTCAATCAAACTGCAACAGGTTAATGAGACTAGCCAGTTAAAATCTCCTACAAAAGAACTTTGTTTCTAGATGATTTAAGATACAATTATTGCACCAAGCACTATATATATAAAAGGCAGGTAACATATTAGTGAAATATCCCTCTATGTATAAAAGTTATATATTTTTTCTTGGGTACATTAATTTATATCCTGCTCGTATGTGCACGTACATTACACAAGTACATCCTATTCAGAGTATCCTGTAGAAATACAGTAACATTGACTCTCAAAGTTGCATGTTTTTATATTATAAACACTGCCATAAACAGCTGTGTATATGTTAGCATAGCAACTCTATGTATAACTATTGTATAATTATAGACCAGAGTTGTACAGTCCTATGTATTATAGCTGCTTTCATTGTAAACATTCTAAATATGTACATACTAATTCGATGACGAGGAACCCACTTTGAGACTAATAATGGCTGGAGACGG